ATGCTTAATCCCAGCACTCAGGAGGGTGAGTTAGGCAGATCTCTGAGGTTGAGGCCAGCCTGATCCACAGAGAGAGTTCCAGGACAGCTAGGGTTACACAGAGAAACCCTGTTTTGAAAAAAATAATAAATAAATAAATTTTAAGTTTGGTTTGGAGCATGCCAGATAAAGCAGAAAACTTCACCACTGGAACTGAAGGATGACTTTGGCAATGTAGAAGTTTGTGTTCTCAAATAAAATTTTTCAATTATAGAAGAGAAACTCTATGTGTCTATAAAGTTAGGTCTTTATAACTACCAGTAATGTATAAGAAATAAATGTAAAACCTCATTTAAAAATTAATGTAGTTTTTCTATCAGTCTACAAGCAGCAAAATCATAATTCTTTTTCCTAATTATGCCATATAAAATAGTGCTTCATGACTGCAGATAAAAGCCATTATGTAAATATCAAGCTCTAGTTACCCTTCCAGATGATTTTGAACCATTCTTTTTCAAATGTTTGCAAATCTGTATCCAGTATTCACATAAGGAAGGAAAAAATGGCTAGAATCTTAGCTAGTGTTTTTTACAAGTTTCAAAGAGCTAACAGATGATTGAGAATTAGAGTGTACTGAAAAAAATAACTGAATGTTGAATTTGCCCTGCAGGTGTGTAGTAGAACACTTTCTATATATACACTGCAACCTGCATTCAAGGTCTACACTCACAAAGAGACATTAACAAAATTAAAGCCTACAGCTACTACAAAAGAACAATAATGCTAGGGTGAATATCTTTGCTAAAAATAACATGTGATATCTATTTTTCTGGATATATTTTTAAAAGCAGTTATCAATCTTCCTTAAATAGTTCTGTGTTCTCCAGTGGAAATATCTTCTTCACTGTGATTCTGTGATATTATCATATTAGTTTGACTTATAAGTCCTAGTAAATGGACATTTATCCAAATATTATTTACCATATTTGAAATCTTCTCTTCTATGGAAATTCTCTTAAACTATATATTTTTCTCCTTTTACTTCAAAAAAATTACTTGATCTTTGTTGTTTATCATATTAAACAAGTCGTCAATTAGTCACAGGTCACAGTCTTATGAAAACATGTTTTTCTCACCAACTGATTATTGTCTATTGTTGTCAACAGAATTGCAATAGGTAGACCACTACAGAATTTCAAGAGTAAACATCACAGAAACACATTTCTGTACACACATATTAAGCTCAAGGAACAACATTTTACCTTGTCATTAAAACCACTATTCTCCTCCTTTGATTTAGGCAAGTTGGATCCCAAAGTAGGACCATTGGGGTACCTACAGAGCAAACACAATAAGAATGGATGGTTGCAACTTAAAAAACAGACTGGAAATCTACAAATCATAAGTGATATGAACTTTTAAAATAGTTTCCTCTTTGCCTCTGCCTCTTCTAATTTCTAAGATTATTAGATTCAGATTCTTTATTCCATGTGAATGGTGACAACAGCTATGTTGGCAGGGCCTTGGAAATGTCACTTCCTAAACTGCTTGAACTTACTAAAGAATTCAGAAACTATTCAGTGCCTCACAGAACTCATGCTACTTTAACCCAAAAGGAAGCCTGCTTCAAAATTTAAGCTGTTCAACCAAAACATGGAGGTCATGTTGTTCTGCTATGCTAATAACTATGTAAAAGAAATCATTACTTTCCCTTTGCCTTCAGATAGTAAAAAGAGTTCCTTGAATGTCCTTTCACTGGCATTCGAACCAGGATGTATCTCTAGTGCATGAACAGACTTCAGGAGCCCAATTCCCATGGAGGGATACTCTCTCAGCCTAGACACATGGGGGAGGACCTATTCCCTGACCCAAATGACTTAACAGATTTTGATGATCATTCATGGAAGGCCTCACCCTCCCCAGGGAGTGAATGGGGGATGTGTTGGGGGGTCGGTGGGGTGCATGGGAGGTTGGGAGGGAGAAGGAACTGAAATTGGCATGTAAAATAAGATTGCTTCTAATTTACAAAAGAACTAAATTCTAATGTAAAAAAGAATTAAATTCTAATTTAAAAGAATTAAATAAATAAATAAATAGGTAGATGATAGATGGATGGATAGATAGATAGATAGATAGATAGATAGATAGATAGATAGATAGAAAGATAGAAGCCCAAATGTCTGTGTAGTCAATTGGAATGTCTTTTGAAAAGAGAGCAGAACAGAAAACAAAGTAAAATACCTTTATGTCAACACATAAATTTAACTTTTGAAGCTGATCTGATAAATATCTTATCTAGGTTCCAGGGATACATTGTCTTCTGTCAATCTGTGCTAATGAGCAAGGCAATACATGGAAACCAAGGCAGGCTGATAGTCAAATCATAGGAGCATTGTCTGGCAGATAATTGTGTAATTAGAAAAGCATGTATTATAACAGGAAAAACATTGAACATTTATTATGGTAATTGTAAGGACTAACTAGTGTTAACCATAAAATAGTGGGTGAAGTTACTACAGAGTAGAATACTGAGTAAAAATTTATTCATCTATACATTCCAAAATTAGAAAACATGATTTTTATAGTTATATAAATCTTACTTTGCTAATGAATTGTCTTCAGAATTCTTGTATGCTATTTAAGAAAAAGAAAGGTATTTTAACTAGAACAATTAAAAAGTCTACAATACTAAAACATATCACTCTAAGTGTTTATTAGGAACATTTCTATCAGACAATGTCTGAAAAATAGCCTAATATTGCCAATTAAGTAATGAATATACTAAAAAAAATCTACTACTTGCTTCCTATTTACTAGGCCCCCAAAAAGAAGACAAAAACTAACAAAAATTTAACACCTAAAAGTACAATGTAAAGTCCCATGATATCTATGGTAACTCAATTATTAGGAGACTGACTTCAATGGAATCACGAGCCAAATAAATAGCAGAGTATATGAGAATATATGTGCAGTGCAACATTACCAACAATGCTGTTTGCTTATTTTGCTATAACACAAAGTTATATAAAATATTTTGTTCAAATTTCAGTTTATGCTAAGAAATATTATCTTAAAGAAGCCCAAAATATCAACAGCACACTTTGCAACATAGCAAACATGGAGCTAGAACAAGACCAAGGGGCTTTGCAAAGACTTTTTATAGGCAAAGCAAGCTCTGTAGAAGTTATCCTCTTCAAGGAATAATGTTAAAAAAATTGTTCCAATACAGCTGTTTCTGTGTTCTTAAATTTGGTGCAATTGGACTCAGATTCATATGATTCAGTTCTAGAAAGAACTACTGCAACATCAGACCTTATGGGTTACCAGTCCTGAGCTGTGCTAAATAAACATTTAACTTTAAAAGAACACAGAGGTAGCAGGAAGTTTCTTGGGAAATCTTGACATGTGTGCTTTATTTTATTTTATTATTAAAGTTTTCATTTATTTTACCTACTGGTCACAGTTTTCCCCACTTCCTCTCCTCTCATTTACCTTTACCCCATCCATTCCTCTTCATCTCCATTCAAGTTGAGGCATGACCAAGCTCCTCCCCCTGCATCAAGGTTAGGCAAGGCAAACCAGCATGGGGAATAGGTCCCAAAAGCAAGTTCAAGTACCTGGGAGAGGTGCATCCTGATCCCACTAAAAGGAGTCCCACAAATAGACCAAGCTATACAACTGTTACACACATGAGGAGGGCCTAGGTCAGTCCCATGTAAGCTCCCTAGCTGTTGGTCCAGTGTCCTTTAGCTTCCAAGAGCTCGAGTCAGTTGTCTCTGTGGGATCCCCCCTCAGGATTTTTACACCCCTAGTTTGTATAATCCCTCTTCCTTTTTTTTCAGGAGAACTCCTGGAGCTTGGACCAGTGCTTGGCTATGGATCTCTGCATGTGCTTCCATCAGTTACTGAATGAATGCTCTCTGATGACAATGTAGTCACCAATCTGATTACAGGCAAAGGCCAGTTCAGGCACCCTCTCTACTATTGCTAGGAATCTCAGCTGGGTTATCTTATGGATTCCTGGGAATTTCCATGACACCAGGTTTCTCCCTAATCCCAGAATGCCTGCCTTATGAAGATATCTCTTTCATTATTTTCCCCCTCCATTCTGCCCCTAGACCACCCAGAAGCTCATCCCCCCTGTTCCCATCCTCTCAAGATCCCTTCACCACCACATCCTCCCAAACCCCACCCCCATTTTACATAGGAGATCTCTTCTATTTCCCCTTCCCAGGGAAATCCATGCATTCCTGTATGGGCCCTCTTAACTGTAAGGTAAAGGATAACTAGACTACAATCCACAGCCCCAGAGAAGCTACATAACAAGGAGGATATGCACTTTTAAAATGGGAAATCTCCTGAGATTATTAGATATGATACCAGAACTGAATAAAATAGGCTAAACAGTAATGTTTAACGCAAAGAGCAATTTCTTTCAACCTTTTTCATTAAGTGGAAAATTACTGTAAATTAAAGCTTTTTCCAATGAGTTTACCATCATATCCTATACTTATAATCAAAACCAACAGGTGAAAAGGAGCTGAGGGAGTAGGTAATGGCTACAGAACTTGCTTTAAAAGTACAAGATTTCTGGGTTCAATCCCTAGTTCCACAAAAAAAAAATATTGTTGATTTTAATAAAGCTGCTGAGTGTGCACTGCATGCTTCTAATCTCAACAACTGCGAAATTAAGGCTGCTTAAATCAGGAATTTAAAGTCAACCTCAACTATACAGTAAGATAGAAACCACTATAGGATGATTGAAATAATGTCTTGACATAGAAAAAAATTATTCAGTGAAGTTACTATAACTGTACATCATAACAAGAGGCAACCACAACCTTTAATGACAGGTAGCTAAAATCAATAATATGTGAGTGCTATTGCATAAATTAAAATATTGAGAATATGGGAAGCAGTTTCAATTGTATATGCTTAGAAAACATGATAAAATGTTGATTTATATTGGGTGTGTGCTAATCATGATTTTAATATTCATTTATCATTATCATAGACCTTACCTGAATTGCCATTTTTATGTTTAACACGTAACTTTTCATCGTAGTCCGTAAGAATCTCTCGAATACTACCATGACAAACAAACAAACAATAAACCATAAAACTACTATTTCAAAATTGATATAGAAAACATCTTTACACTATGTTGAATTTTCCAGAATATTGCAGGCAATATCAAAGGTGTTATTATAATCTAGTAACACATAATTGTTTAGCTGGAAAGTCCACCTTGAAACTCTGCCTTACACCACTTGCCCCTCTCCAAACCCCACCTCCTGAGAAAGACCTCCAACAGTCCAGATTCCTTCCCTGAAGCTCAAGACCACACCTACAGAGAATTTAAGCCATGGTCTGCAGATAGGCCATGTAATTTTTTTTTCCTCCAGCTCCCCTTTCTGAGAATTATACTGGAGTGCTTTGCTCAGATTAAACCTGGCCCTTTACTTTTAAATTTGGTTTACTGTGTATGCCGAGAGACCTAATATCAAAGAACAAAAACCTTTCACCAATCACTTCTCGGCCTTTTGGCTAAGATCAAGTGTAGACACCTTTCACCAATGTGTTATTTCCTTCTCCAGTCATATATTCCGCTATTATAGCTATCCAAAAAAAAAAGAAAGAAAGAAGGAAAGAAAGAGAGAAAGAAAGAAAAAAGAAAGAAAGAAAGAAACCCTTTTCTAATTTCAGTTCTGTTTCTGTGATAAAATAGCCTGGCAAAAGAAAATTAGAGGAAGGATTTATTTTCACTTACAGTGGCATATCATTATTGCAGGAATGTTGAAACAGCAGCAACTTAAAGTAGGTAGTTGCATCATATTCACAATCAAACCATAAATAAATGAATACAATACTGGTCCTCACATACTCTATTCTTATACAATTCACGACTCCTGCCTAAGGAATGGTGCTATTCACAAAAGGCAATGTCCTTCCACATCTATCAGCAATCAAGACAATTTCCTCCTGACCACCTTACAGGTCAATCTGATCTAAAGGATCACTCTAAAAGGATTTCCAGGTGACTCGAAGTTGTCTCACTTGATAAAGAATTAACCATCACAATTCCTGACTTTCACTGTTAGGTGTCCTAATTTTATGGCTTATAGTTTAGAAAAATGAACAATTTAACAACTTTAAAATAAAAGCTTTTTAAATGTGATTTCTTTCCATTAAATAAAAATGATTGTTCACTATTACCAAGCTCTCAATGACGAAATACTAAAATCTAAAACTTTCTAGACCCTCATTTAGTTACTAGTAGTCCTATGGTGCTATATTATTTATGATTTATTAAAGTCTGCCTGAGAGTACAGAAAGCAAAGCTAGCCACAAATCATAGAGGCAATAGTGATACACAGATTTAATCCCAGCAGCCAGGCAGTAGTAGCACACACCCTTAATTCCAGGATAAGGAGACAGGCAGATGAATATCTCTGAGTTCATTGCCTCCCTAACCCACACAGGAGTGAAGAGTAACAGGAGTTCATGTCTTTGATCCTAAGTACTTGGGATCACATGCCTTTAATCTCAGCACTAGGGAGGTGGAGACAGGAGTGATATGGCTGGGCCGAGACAGGAATATAAAGCAAGTGGACACAGGAATTCAGAGCTTTTGCCTCTGAGGATTCACAGAGACAGGACAGCCCTTTCAGCCTGAGGTATGGGTAAGAGCTAGTGGCTGGCTGCTTTGCTTCTATGACCACCAGCTTGACGCTTGAACTCCAATATCAATCTCTGGGGTTTTATTATTCCTACTACATAGTCCTCATTTACCTAATCAAGCTCCAAACCTGCAGTTCCTTGTTAGAATGATTGATTAAATACACATTAAGGCTGACAGCTACTCTTAGAAGTATGGCATTGACTCTCATACCTCCTAGGAAAGGATGCTGCACAGGCCACAAAAGGGTCTATGGACAGAGTTCCAGCAGTAATAATAAAGACTTGTGATGTTCCCTGAAACATGATTTTAACATTCATGACAGCTTACAAAGATCTCAAATCATAATTTCTACCAGAAGAGATGAACAAATTCTTCAGTTAATAAACCATGACAGAAAGTGGTCAAATGGCTAGCAATGAGTGTGGCACAAACTAAAAACCCAGTATCCAAAGGAAAGCACTGTCACTTTGGGATTAATAGTTCAATTAAAATATTGTAGCTTTTCAATGGAAGTGTGAATTCCCATAAATCATTAGAGAACTGATTCAACTTGGCAACCCGGTTACCAAGGTCAATTCCTTCGGGTCTCTGGGACAAATGTGAATAGCAACACTGCAGCAACAGAATCAGTAGAAAGAAAAGAAAGACTAGAATGCCCTCTTTTTGCTTCATATGCCTTTTGAATGACAGCATTCCTCCTGGGACTTAGGGAATGCAGAAACCTTTATCCACTTCAAGATTCAAAGAATAATATATAGAAGAAAGCCCATCAGAGAAAGAAAAACTATTTTCTGCAAAACAGTACCTGAAGACTAAAACAGCTAATTAGAATATCAAACATCTGACACTACATGTATATGATTAATAGAGTTATAGTTGGATGAAATGGAAAATGTTAGGATTCATAATTTTAAGTACACAAATTCTATACAGAGATGTAGCTCATTGACAAAATTACCCAGCACAAATGAGGTAGCTGGTTCAACCTTCAGCATTACCAAATCAAGGCATGACACAAAGAAACCCTTCTCCATTTCTGCTTTTAATGATTTTTGCAAATTGGATAGTAACTGCTATTCCAATGCAGCCTAGAGTCAACAACGATATATTATGTGACAGAAGATGAAGTTTTGCAATTAATTTGAACTACAAGTTGGGGTTCATTAGCATTCTAATGCAAACACCTACCCTTTACTTGTGCCTTCAATAGCATAACGTAATGCAGTCCATCCGAACACATCTTTGAAGAAAACGTCAATGCCTTCATTCAGAAGCAGACTCACCATATCTTTTGAATTCCATCTTATGGCATATAAGAGTGTGTTTCTGAAATAACATGGAAATAGCTTCATTATAAGGTACTTTATTAAAACTGTTAATAATTTGGTATATTTTACATTTTAATACCTTATTTGTTTGGCATTCTGCTTTTATATGTATAAATATTATTGGTTAAAAATATTCATCTTTATATACTGTATGAAAAAATAAAAGAAGAAAATGGATGGGAAGTCTATGGAGTTGTTTCACATATTCTTAGAAGAATTCTTAGACATATCATCTGAAGACCTCGGCATCAAAGTGCCGGGCACTGAACCGAACCCTCTGCCCAAGAACCGGGGCCAGACCACTGGCTGCAAATGCAAGAGGTGATTTATTGAGTACACAGGCGCCTGCAGATGCTACTGCAACTCGAGTGCAGAGCATACCGGGCTTTCAGGGAGTACCATATTTATAGAGTTTCAATGGTTACATAAGTAACAGGCATTTCATTGGCTCATCTTGGGGGCAGGGGTAGTTCCCACGGACTAAGATTCCTGGTATTACTTTATGAAAGACCCAGGCATACTTCAGCAATTATTATCCGGGTCCCATGATTGCTATAGTGATCAGACACAATTGGGGGCCAGGGTAGTTGCCAAGGACTAGGTTTTCTAGTATTGTCATATGAAAGTTCCCAGCACGCTTCAGCAATTATTATCTGGGTCCCATGACTGCTATCACAGACATCCTGTTTTGAGGGTGAGACACCTGGTCTGGGTTTCTTTCATTAGGCAACGGCCTGGACTTGCTTTTCTTTTCCTAGGGGGTCCTGGGTAGGGGTCTTTCAATCTTTGATAGAATTTAAGTGTATAAAATTTTTTCTCCTTAAGTAGATAAGGACTTAAATGAAAGTGTTTCATATTATAACATATTATAAGTAATAATCAGATGACCATCATTTAATTGAAAGCTCTTTTCATTATTTAAGCAATAATAACATTATGAAATAATCTGTTAATAATAAAATTCATTGTAGCTGAAGTTAGTAATGGTGATAAAGTGCTATGCACTGCCATAAATGTTTCATAAATGATCTCATAAAACCTTTCAGGGAGTTATTCTCCTTTTCATATTTGGTGATATCTAACATTAGCAGATCACACACCTAGCAATTAGGTATCTCAAATTTTAACTAAGTTATCTATAAACCTGTATCTACTTAGCTTCATTAATGTTTCTCCCAATGAAGTGAAGTTTTTTACCATTCCCAATACTATGGAAATATATAACAAATCAATACCAATTTTACAGGACAAAAAGGGGTGTAGCTGAGCAGTATCCTGCAATAGCAATTCTTTGTCATCAAAGGATAATCTGACCTCATTCTTCAAAGGTAATTGAAAGGTAGGAGTCATATACTACTTTGTAATTGTCAACTCTTTTTTATGATTAACATGACATTTTATAGGATAACCAGGGGAAAATACTACAAAAATGATTGAATTTTGTTATAAATCAATTGAAAAGTCCAAAGTTCTTAAACAATTAGTAAAACCAACCTGAAAATCTGTAAGATCAGCTGTCCAAACAAACAAACCATCAAATAAGAAGCATTAATCAATGTAATAAAGGGATATGAAACTTATTATAAATGACTTGTGTAGCTCACTTCAACTTATTGCCTGCTTGCCTAATTAACTAGACTAATGACTAGTTGATAACTGATAACTGCATCCCTATAAGTTAGTCTTCTTCCTATCAATTTGATGTTTCTTGGTCGTGTGGTTGAAATTTCAGCATGCCACTCATACTTTAAAAAATTCAAACAACAATACCTTTTCATGTAATCAAATACGTGTATATTTGCCCCATTCATTACTAAAAATTTTGCCATCTCTATTTTGTTTTCCTTCAGGGCCTGTAAAAGTGGTGTAAAGCCATCCTGTAAAACAAAACAAAACAAAACAATCTATAATCCAAAATCATTACAACCTTTAACTGAATTGAGTCTTAAGCAGTCCCTGTGAATACAAGTGCTTGCTAGACTGAATGAGCAGCTTCTTCCCTTGCTGATGGGGAAGTCCTGTGTATATGTCAATAAAGCACTGTTGGCCAATAGGGAAGCAAGATAGGTGGGACTAGGAGTCGAGGAGGACTCTGGGAAGGAGAAACACAGGGATCATCATGTAGCTGCCATAGAAGTAAGAGGTCCGGACCCTCTCTCCGGTAAGAGAAATACGTAGATGGGTTAAATACTTAAGTCAGAGCTAGCCAGTAAGAAACAAACAACTGGCCAACAGCTTCATAATTAATGCAGTGTCTTGTGTGTTATTTGGGAACTGCAATTGTGGCAGGGCCCAAACAGATGGTGGGGCAGGTTGCTCTCTACAAATGTTGATCAGGAGTGGGATCATGAATTTCCAGGTAGAATAACAAAAGCTTTAAAGGAATTTTAGAAACAAAAGAACAAAGAAAAGCATGGGTTCTTTTTAGCAGCATTTTTTTCAGGAGGGCTCTGTTTTGCTAGCGACAAGCAGAGACTCACATGGCTTGCTTAAGGGAGTCTTCCTGACTCAGCATGAGCGGAAAAAAAAAAAAAACAGCAAGATTCTTTTAAGAGGCTCTCCTAATGATTGAAAGGTCTGTATGTACAGCTGGAAGTGGCAGTGACTACATCTCCAAACCAGCAGCTTCTGCTGGATATCAGCATAGACTAAAGACAGTGAGCTGGAGTCATGCTTACGACCGCCATCTTGGAAAAACTGCAGTTTAAGCAGCCGCTGTTTTAACACTAAAACACATGGCCAGAAAAACATAAATATTTGCAATAAAGTCAGACTTGGATGAAGAAAAACCTCTAAAGGTTTACAATGTGTTTAAAAATGTACATAGGATTGAGAGAGAAAAAGAAACGTCATAGTGGTAAATAAATAGAGAAGCAGGCTGTGGTGGTGTATGCTGATAGGATTTGCTCCAGAGGCAGAGGCAGGTGTATTTCCAGAGAAACCCTATCTCAGAGAAATAAATAGATAAATAAAAGTAAAAGAAATAGACTAATAATAATAGATAAATAAATAAATCACGTAAAGATGGAAAACACACAGAGAGTCTGGATACTATTGTGTTTTTCAGTTTTTTGACTGCTAAGGAAGAAACAACTACTAAAGTACACATAATTATAAATGCTGCTGAATTAATTCAACTTATATCTTTTGAAAATGCCTTGACTTCAAAATATGAGTATAAGGACCAGTTACTTTGAAAAAGAGTTTTTGTTTATGTTTCTACAGAAAATGGAAAACTGTGGATTCCTTCCAGGCTTCTGTGGTTTGATGAACCAAAACCCCCGGAGGCAGTGGCCCAAGTGATTCAACATCTAAAACAGCAAAGATGATGCAGCCTTACAGACCCCGAAAACAGGTTTCTTGAGTTTTTTCATGATCCCCATGGTATGAACAGAGTCCCCTTAGAGCATGAAGCAGTTTGGAATGAGTGACGTCCAAATCCCCATATTGTTTATGAATATTTGTTTTCATTTGAATGGGGTTGCTTATAATTGGTTAATGATTACAACCAATCTCTTTCTAAAGGAAAAATGGGATTGTGGTATGGAAATAAATACTTTGTATTGGTGTGGTTTTTCATTTATTGATAAAAATTCATGGTCAATTTTGTGATGTATATATTTCTCCTCTTGATTAAGTATTGTGCTTGTACTGATCTTTTAAAACATAATGGATAATTGAATACAGACTATAGATAGTTACTTATAATAGTCAGAACTTACAGTTGAGTAAGTTAGGTTTTCTAGATATACAGAGATATATTTGAGATAGGTAGATAGTCTTCAAACCTTTCAAAGACCTTCAGAAACTGACGTTTAAAATGGTTTAGGGTTTTTCTTGACAATGAGAAATATCTGCTCCTGGAATCATCAATTACGTCTGAGAGGAAGATGGGCATCAAAGAAACTCGTTATGGAGTTTGCTTTCCACATGGCAAGATTAGCCATTTGGGCAAGAAATGTTCTTGCCTAGACTGCTTGACTGTTGCTGTATAAACTGGACATGCAAGACCCACAGGAAAGTGACTGCTAAACTCAAGCAGTCCTTCATGGTTCCTGCTTCATGGAAGAGTCTACAAGACTTTCTGCAGGACACAGAAAAATGAATGATAGACTGCCAATGCAGATGGACAGTTTGAAATTTCCTGCTTTACTTTGAAGTCTTCTGGACACACTGTGGACTATGAGCTAAAGATGGATGCCCCAACATTGCAGAGGAACTTCAGGTGACTGTCCAGGCAGCAAGATGTCTCTGTCAATCCTAGTGTTTATAGATTATCCTTCTGTGGTCTTTGATGGATTTGAAGACAGATATAATAATAGTTTTCCTTAGTTATAATAAAAAGTAAGCTACATATAAGACTTGAGACTCATACAGATAGGATAGACAATAAAAGACGTTCTTTAAATATTACTAAATGTTAATGAACAAAGTATTGTAACTATATTTTTACTTGATAACTGTTCTGTTATATATAATTTGACTATGTTAAAGTTAAAACCTCTCTTTTTGTTTAGACAGAAAAGAGGAGATGATGGGGAAGTCCTGTATATATGTCAATAAAGCACTGTTGGCCAATAGGGAAGCAAGATAGGTGGGACTAGGAGTCGAGGAGGACTCTGGGAAGGAGAAACACAGGGATCATCATGTAGCTGCCATAGAAGTAAGAGGTCCGGACCCTCTCTCCGGTAAGAGAAATACTTAGATGGGTTAAATACTTAAGTCAGAGCTAGCCAGTAAGAAACAAACAACCGGCCAACAGCTTCATAATTAATGCAGTGTCTTGTGTGTTATTTGGGAACTGCAATTGTGGCAGGGCCCAAGTGGATGGCGGGGCAGGTTGCTCTCTACACCTTGCTGTCCACTACAGTCCTTCTCATTGAAAAGCCCTTTATCTACCCATAAGTGACAGAAGAAGCACACATACTGCCTTCCAAAGATGGTTTCAAAACTGTGTTTGCTCTACAAATATTTCCCTCTACCATAGCATTTAGTATATGAGTCATGTGATTACTCTCAGCTCCTCTAAAACTTTCTTGAGGGTGGATGCTATATCTGTGCATCAATAGCTACATCCTCAAACACATAGTAGCAACAGGTTTGGGTGTGAAATAGCTGTATTTTATATTCTTTAAAATGAGGTGCCACACATGGCCACCTGTATAGACACTGAATAGCAAAATATGCCAAAGGGCAATTTGGTTTTAATCTTCTTTTTACATTACATTTATTAATTTACTGTATGTATTGTTTATGTACAAAGGTGAACATAAATTCATAGGGAAACCAAACACACTTTTAGAAATCAGAGGATAACGTAATTTAAGCAAAGAAATTCCATAAGCTAATCACCACCATTGTTACTATATTTTCTTCCCAAACATAAAAATAGTAAAACAGGAAAGTATGGATAATATTATTGAGATCAAACTAGCTCTTCTAGAGTTCCTTATGATTTTGCAATCTAGCACCCATGTATTCAATATCTATCTAGGAACTGTTTCAAAAATTTCAAGAAAATAATTTCGTAAATGCCTTTGCCCATGACTAATCAGATTTAAAGTTTCAAACTCTGCATAGAAACCTCTACTAGGAAGCTGCCTCATTGCTAATACGCATGGCTAGTTACCTCACCATTTGTACATATCACTGAAAATAGAAAGAACTTAGTCACTAAAGACATAATTCCCCTTAATGGGAGAAGACAGGGAGTAAGCAGCCAGGATCACATTTCACTTATATGCAAAAATGGAAATTCCATCTCCATCTCCTCCCAATCCAGGCATCCTAGATTTGAGAATAGAAGTTAGGTTTTAACCTAAGTGGTAGTCATTTCTTAAACAAAAAGGAAAATATGCCAGTAAATTCTTTGATTGTTCCTCTGCTTTTTCATATAACTACCACATAACCACTACCTGTCCTCAGAGTGCTCCTCAGATTGAACTACAGGCATATTTGTAACTCAGTAACTTCAGAAAACTAAGACTGACTACACCTCAAACAGAAAACACAGTAGCAATGCACATAATATCAAACTAAAATAATTCTGTTAGTTTTGATTTTTGGTTTTTGTTGGTGGCTTTGTGTGTCTGTGTGTGTGTGTGTGTGTGTGAGAGAGAGAGAGAGAGAGAGAGAGAGAGAGAGAGAGAGAGAGAGAGAGAGAGAGAGAGAGAGAGTTGGAGATCTATGAGGAATTGGGGAATGGAAAAGAATGTGATCAAAATAAATGAAAAATGTTCATTAACATAATAAGTTGAAAATAGTAATAATTCTTCAAAATTTCTTCAATTGCCTAATTTCCAGGTAAGCCTTCTGACCATGTTCTAGTTCTGTATTCATTGATTCAGTATTAACACAGAGAAACATATCATTTGATGTTATTTGTTAAGAGCCCTGATATCAACATTTGTCACAAAATCTTTTGTTTCACTATAGTTTTGAAACAGTTTCTCTAGCAAGGGAAGTTTTTCTCTTCAATTGTGTTACCTCACAGAATTCTGATACAGATTTAGGTGAAAAAAATGATAAAAATAAAAGCTTCACCTTGAATAAGTATAGCAAACATGGAGTTTTCACAAATACTAGCCTTCATGAGATGGAGGAAAGCACTACACTCTAACCCTTCTTTCAAAGTATCCCTATTTGAAATCATATTTTTAAACAATTAAGCTATTTCAAAGTATTTTCATTCAAGGAATTCTTGAATTTCTAACATGCAAAGCTAATCCTACATGTATTACCATTAATACACACACACACACACACACACACACACACACATATTTCAGATTACTTGGGAACTACAGTTCCATGAACTGCACCTTGTTCTTTTGTTCCATGTCTGCACTATATTTAAGCAAGCATTTAGCCAGAATCTGGTTGCCTTCAGACACTGCATAGTGAAGAGAAGTGTTGCCATCTTTGTCCATATGGTTTGGATCAGCACCATGCTTCAACAATGTGCACACACATTCATACGTCCAGTTTTGTACAGCCTAGGGATTATACAAAGAAACAGATTGCTTGTTCAAAAAAATTCAATAGAAACATCACATAGATGTCACCAAGTAGTGACATGTTCATGGGGTAAGTTTATTTTATAATTATATATATATATATATATATATTTGGATAACTATATATACCTTCATCAGAGGTGTCACAGAGTTCATGTCAATGGCATCAACGTCACAATTATTTTTCAGTAGAAAATTTACTACTTCTACCTGGCCATAGGCACAAGCATAATGTAGAGCAGTCCTATGGAAAAGAGGAATTTTAAATGAAATTCTAGAACACTACCTTAAAGTTAATAATTATGCCTGTAATAGTAAAATATTAAATGGTACATAATTCTTAAACACTGAATGGCATGTGATTCTTTCACCTTCTGAACAAATTTTTAAGTCTGTGAAAAAATGGAAATATTTATTAGCTTGTACTACTTACTATACTAGTAAAGAGGCAACGTTTTGATGGGGTCCTTTCTGTGGTGCTATGAACTGAGCACATGACCTCTTTCATGTTTAGAAATTAATCTGCCGCTGAGCAATACCCCCAACCAGAAGCAGGAAAAGCATGGTTTTAATTATTAATTATATGCTTATATTTATTGTATAATTAATAATTAAATATCAATTAAATAGTTATTATTTTATAATTATTATTAAATAATTACAATGCAATTTAATTGTAATTTACTTTGTTACAAACTACTTAGATTTTCTATGAATCAGTTCTCTCATCAGTAAAGCAAAGATCAAAAGTAATAGTTAACTCACAGAGTACCATGGTGCTGCATCAATAGGAATAATGCAAAATATCTAGAATAGCTCCCTATACTTGATGACTCAGTTTAAATATTATCACTATTCCTTCTACTCAGTAAACAAGCTTTCAAGTACATACAATTTTATGATAATATTTTTCCTGATATGTTTAAGTATTAAAAATTTTAAGGATTCTAAATTGTAAGTGTCTAAATTTGCTTAGAAAAGGGGCAAAGCAAAAAGGTTTTAAGAATAGTACAATATGGGCGGGCGGTGGTGGCTTTAATCCCAACACTTGGGAGGCAGAGGCAGGTGGATCTCTGTGAGTTCGAGGCCAGGCTGCACCGACAGCCTCCAAAACAATACAGAGAAACCCTGTCTCGAAAAACCAAAAAAAAAAAAAAAAAAAAAAAAGAATAGTACAATATGAATGCTACATAATAGGTGTTCATATTATCGGTGATGAATAAATTACTTGATAAATTTGTGATTTATCTAAATTTGTAGGCAGAATTGGACAATCTGGAGTAGGAATCTCCAGCTGGTGTGCAGGTCATGAGACAGTGCTCAGGAGCCAAAGAAAACTGAACACAGAGAGGCCCTCTCCTTCTCCTGGCTCCTCTACCCTGTCTTTGGACATAATAGAGGCCATTTCACATCCTCTACGCAGGCCCCTTCCTCCAGCTCATAGGCCCTGTTACCTTTGCTTACAGTCTCTGTCATGGACACTGTGTTTCCCAAGACTTATCATTCTCTGCAGTCTCTCAGCATCACCCTCGCTTGCAGCCTGGTGGATCTTTATGAGAGGTTTGTATCTGGGTTCATTCGAGACGGAAATACTTTTCATATCATGTAAAAAGTCAAACAAGTTTTTTCGTGGGACATCGCAGAAACCCATAGGTGTCTTTTCCTTAATTCCATGAACTAAGTTCTTCATGGTTGAAGCTACTGGTCTCACCTGCCTGTCCCTGACCCTTCAGATTTTCCCAAGGACTTGTCCCTAGACCCACTAATTCCCAAACTCAGTATCAGGCTATGGAAAGTCAACATATGCCCAGATATGCCCACAAGGTCCCCCACCAAGTTTGTAGGGTGGGGGAAATAGCTTCTGACACCCCCGGATACAGTTGATCGACTCGAGGTTGCCAGGCAACACTGGTAAACGTTAGTGTGCGCATGCATAAGAGCAAGCCTCCTGAACTGTAACATCCCTGGAGTTTAAGAGAGTTAGTTCACTGTGCATGTAGAGGCCACTTCCGGCCATCTCTCTGCAGAAAAACAAACCTGACTTTCATTAAATATCCATGTCACCCTCACTGTAGACAGTGCCCTTCTCAGCTTCCATCTCTCACTTCCTGCTCTAACTCCTTACTCCCCTCTCCCAATTTCCCTCTTCTTTCCCTCCTTTACTCATGCAACCTTATGCTCCTATGGCTTCTGCTTCCATTTTCACTATACCCTTTTGAACATCATTCCTCTCGCCCCTCGGGAGCTGCTAGATTTTGAAGCAGCAGCATCGGCCACAACAACCCCCGCCCCAGCTACTATATAAGTTCATCTCTCCAAATATGCCTCTAAAGCACATCCTTTCTGCCTTCCTTGCTTCTCTTTGCACCCTCTGTCACCCCATGTTTCCCACAAGAGTCTACCTTACATCTCTTCCCTCTCCCTGCTGACCTTTACCCCCACAATATAGTCTCACCATTCACCACACGTACAAAGTGAAAAGCAAGCGAGACAAAACAGTGCACATTTTAATCCTAGTGCTCAGGAGACTGATCCAGGAGGATTTTGAGTTTGAGGCCAGCTTTGACTAAACTTACCCAAAATAACAATACGAAATAAAGAAAATAAATAATACGAGAAAAGTCAGGAAGGCAATGATGAAATTATTAGGGGTGAAAATAGTAGGTAATTTGTTACTTTCATTTACACTAGTGCTTTTTAAATAGTCTAAACCATGTATTTCATAATAACCACTAAATATATAATCAATAAATAACAAAATGCAATATATAAGCAAAAACAACCAATAAATATGTAATATTACACAGCTAATAAAAAATATGAGAGCATTTCATTATCAACTGGAAATAAATTACTCCAGTTTATCAAGCTGTTGGAGTAGGAATAATAAATCATGTCAAAATAGAGGAGATAATTTAACATTTGTGTTTATAATACAGTACTCAGTTTGTATATTCTTGTGAAGAATTTAGCAGACACTTTTTCTGCTCAGGACTGTTTACTCAGTTTCTTCATTGCAACCTTCATGTCTTTGTTCCTTAGAGTATAAATGTCCAGAGTGGCAAGAAACTTATCCACTGGTACAGTAGGAAATGGCCACAAGTACACGAAGATGCATGGTCCAAAAAACAAAACCACTACAAAAATGTGAGCAGAAAGCGTAGACAGGGCCTTGGACAAACTGCCTAAGGACTGTTTCCATACAGTGAACAGTATGAAGATGTAGGAGATAGTCAATAAGAAGAAGGGAGTGACAGAAATTAATCCACTGTCAGCAGTAACCAAGAACTCCATTTTGTAGGTGTCTATGCAAGTCAGTTTGATAAACCTAGGAAGGTCACAGTAAAAGCCATCTATCACATTAGAACCACAAAAGGGCAAATGGATAACGAAAACTAATTGAGCCACTGAGTGAATGAGACCAATAATCCAGGCACCAGTCAGAAGCACAAGGCATGTCTGTGGGCTCATGGTGGTCAAGTGGTAGAGTGGCTTACATATAGACACATATCTGTCCCAGGCCATGGCTATCAGTAACACCATCTCACATCCCCCCACCACATGAAGGATAGACATCTGTAAGATACATCCCTGGAATGAAATGGTATTATGACTGGAGTACAGATCAGAAATCAATTTAGGAACAGTTGAGGTAGAAAAACATAAGCCAACAAATGAAAGATTAGCTAGAAGGAAGTACGTGGGTGAACGTAAATGAGGGTCAAAGATAACTGTAAGCACAACTGAGAGATTTCCTAGAAAAATTGTTGCATAGGATATTGTAGAAAATGCAAAGAGGAAATATTGTGTGGTTCTGTGGATTGATAATCCCAGGAATATAAACTCAGATACTTCAGAGTAATTTGCTTCATTCATTGGATCTTTCTTGAGTTATCTACAATACCCAAAACAAAACAGGCAAAGCAGTTACCAGAAATAGTAAAATAACCAAGCAGTGTAATGTTTTGTGAACTGATAACAATAAAATGATTGGATATTAAATGTATGATTTAAAATAAACTATTGAAAAAACACACTTAAATTGCTTCAAAATACTTATTAATAAAAACAATTCTTCATGATCTTCCATGTTTTGAGTAATTAGTGTCTCTATTATACTAATATCCATTATGAATGTACACTATATTTCAAAAAACTATGTTATGTCCTTTGGTAAGACCTTGGTGCTGTTTCTGGCAGAATTACAAGCAGATTGAATACCTGAAGATTAAACAACTTTAAATTAAAATAAAACCCTGCTAAGATGGAGAAAGAAGCACAGGAGAAGGGCTGGTTTATATCACTATTCTGCCTACAATCTGAAAAAGAGTAGCCATTACCACTGAAGAGGAATTTGAGTGTTCAAAGGTTTGAAATATCCTCTTCAATGACCTTGGCAAGTAAGCACTTGCATTAAGAACTTTTTAATCGTAAGAACAATCTCACAGTCACAAGAGAAATGATAAATTTATTTTTGTACTATCTGAGGAAACATAAACAGAAAGACAAGGTAGCTGATTTCCATCTGTGCCATCAAATTCTTCATAATCTGATGAAGTTCTGTTAATAAAGACACAAGAGGAAAAGACAGTTTCATACATGACAATTGGAATGTGACGATATAATTTTTATCACTTTTATTTTAATTTTAAATAGCTTGTTTTACATGTCAATCCAAGTTCCCTCTCCCTCCCCTCCTCCCGCACTCCCCATCCCCCCCCAGCCTCCCACCCTATTGCCAATTCTTTCCACATAGGGGATATCTAGAGTCTGTCATTTCACTCAGGGTAGGGTCCAGGCACTCCCCTAAGAGTCCAGGCTGAGAGAGAGCATCCCTCTTTGTGCTATGGGCACACGATGACTGTTTGTATTCCAGGGATAGACACTGATCCACTGCTCAGGGCCCCATAGGTTGCCCAGGCCGTCTCACTGACACTCACATTCGGGGGGGTCCAGATCAGTCCCATGCTGGCCTCCCCCGCTATTGGTCTGGGGTCCAAGAGCTCTCCCCTCTTCAGATCAGCTGTCTCTGCTGGTTTTGCCTGCCCATTCTTTGCCAATTTGCTCATCACTCCTCTCTCTCTGTCACTGGCTTCCTTGGGTTCAGTTCAGTGCTTAATTGTGTGTGTTTGCCTCTGCTTCTATCAGTCGCTGGCTGAAGGTTCTAGGATGGCATATAAGGTAACTTGGTATGAGACAGAATACCTAAGAATCCTGTATTTAAGGGCTACATATCTAAGAAAAAAACCAGGATGATTCTGTCATGCTTATTTGTTATTTACCTATCCCTGAGCTATTATAGATGCATTTAATAATTTACACCACACAAAACTGACATTTCTGAAGTTCCAAAAAGGACTAACAGAAATTTTATATAACCTAATATATCAATTAGCTTTTCTGTCTTAACTTGGTGATTATTTAACGTTTAGGCAACCAAATCAAATAATTTATGTTTAACCCACACATAACTGACTGCCAGAGTTTCCCCACTTCTAATTCCACTACCAAGCTTCCCTCTAGACTGGGCACTAACAATGATTCATTATCATGTCACTTCCTTTCCTATGTGCCATTTGTTACCAAGCCTGAATCCACCTGAAAAAAAATATTTATATTGAATATTCATTCGTACAAACAGCAGGGACTAATTGGAGTTAGAAATATAGTTCTGTGCAGGAACAGGCGTCATTAAGGTTAGAATGGAGGAGTAGATATCAAAGCAAACAAAACACTGCAGAGTTTAAAAAAAAGCCATTTAATGATGATTATACAGATAGTGACTGGGGAAAAATAAGAGCAGAATTCAGGAATCAGTTTCTTATTGGACCAGAAAAGAAAAACAGCATGTTTTCTCCTAAAGCTATGACAAATATTTGAGAGGATACATAGGTTAACCCTGATTTTAACAATACACGACCATACTTATATGTACTTTTGACAAAGAATTCCCAGTCTGGACATTTTTTATGGATCAGTTAAATCTTTATAATTTAAATTAAAGAAAAAAGCTAAGCAATCTCATAGTGCCATATCTCTGGGATGCCCATACCACTTGGAGGGATGCTCTCTCAGCCTGGGCACATGGGGGAGGGCCTAGCCCCTGCCCCAGGACTATATGACAGACTTTGGAGATCCCCATGAAGGGCCTCACCCTCCCTGTAGAGTGGAGCTGGGATTAGGTTAGGGGGCTGGGGATCTGGGAGGGCAGGGGAGAAGGGAAGAAATGAGAAGGAGCTGGGATTGAAATGTGAAGTAAGCGTGTTTATAATTTAAATTAAAAAAACAGCTTAAAAAATCTAAGCAAGGGATGAAGGCACAATTACAGAGGTAAATGACTATTTTTTCATCAAAGGAGCTTTAATTAGTTCTAAAAGTTGTGGTAATTCTTATGATAAACCCAAAGCATGTATAATCAGAAGTAAAAAGTTGTACATTCTGCATTTCCAAAGAAAAGGCATAGAAGAACACCAAGATTAAAAGCCAGGGCTAAGGAAATGGTTAAGTTGTTAAAGTGCTTGCTGTGTAGGCATGAGATCCTGAATTTCACCCTAGGAACCCAGGTTAAAAATCCAAACATAGTGATGTGGGTTTGTAATTCCAGTATATGCACAGGCAATTCTCTAAATTTCATTGACTAAGACAGTCTAAACAAATTTGTGAGCCTCGGACCAGTGAGAAGAGGAAAAGAGAGGAAACAGGGTACAGACATAGGGCAGAAACAAGCAAGAAGAAATACCATAAACATTAAAACGGAGGTGGTTAAAAAGCACACTAGTGGAATATTTCTTGTTGCTTCCCTGCTCTATTGACTGCTTAAAATCTTAAGTGAATTCTTCTTGCAGACATTTTTTGTATAATAAAAAAGTTTTTGTAATCCTTCTTCTATTTCTAGTCCATCTCAAACACCCTTTTTTTCTTTTATGACTGTACATGTTTTGTTATTTTGCTTAGAAGTCCATTTAATATTTTTACTAGACTAGCTACTTCTTACTGCAAAACCTCTCTCCTATGTCAGTTCATCAAGAATGCCTTTCTACTTAATTATGGATTAGATGCTCTTCCTCTGTGTCATAAAATCATACTTGTAAACACGTTATATTTCCTATTCTATAATATAGTTTACAATGACTATTCTCTTTTAGCTAAACTAAGTCCATGAGTTTCTGAAAAGCAGGGAGTGTATCTTATTAAATTCTGATCCAGGGTAAGTTAAGTGAGTCTGAGATTGACAATTATATATATATATATATATATATATCCATATATATATATGGATAATTGATGCTAATAATTTTGACCATGATTGATATTCTTTTATAGATCCATCTTAAAGCTACTGAAAACTGATGCCAGAAGAATTATCAATTGCTATTCTGGAAATTATACCTATGGCTGATCTGAAGAAAGTCACTTTAAAACAAGTTTTCAAGACCTTAACTAGTTTTTATGGAGATACAGTCTAGACCAGAAATCATCAAGAAAAGCAAAACAGAAACTAGATAGAATAAGGAATGAAAATTTGACTACCTGAGGAAATCCAGTGTAAGAAAAGGTTCAATAAATGCTTTTAAATGAAACATAACAATAAATAATAAAAGTTTTGTTGTTATGACATGAGACATATGCTTAACTCATTCAAAAACAACTTCTAATTTTAGTAGATTATTGACTTTTTTGCAGCATCTCAAATTTACCTGATTAATGAGAATAAAGGCAACAGAAATCCCTACTTCCAGTACTATTATTGCATCTCTTAAGAAGTAGCCTCTCTTTGGTATGGTGTGGAGTTTTTGGCCACTTGAAGGCTAGTGAGCTGAGTACCTAGGAGTTTTATCATGGGAATTCCACTATTATAACCCTGTGGACTCAAAGGATAAATGTTGAATTTTTCTAAGAAATTGAGTGAAAAACAAAGAAAATTCCATCTAGCAAAGCATAACAGCAATTTCAAATAATGGCATTTCAATGTTTACTTAAATATTAAATATTGACAAAAAGGGGATGGATGTTAAAATAATTAACTAATAATTATATAAATTGCTTTATAAACTTATTCATGTAATTGCCTTTACATATGGTTATCCAATTTATATAACACCTTAAGTTAGAGACTACTTTGAACAGCAGGGGCACTCCTAACAGGAATGAATGATACTACATGTCAGCTTAGTTCTTGAAGCACATTGTGCTCTTTGATATATATATATATATATATATATATATATATATATAAAGTCAAAGGGCACACATATATATGTACATATGCCCTGTTTTGAACTTGCTAAGACATTTTCTTTCACCATGAGAGTTTGGACTTCACCACAAACAAAATGTATATAATCTTTTGATAAATTGATTGATGTAAACAATATTGATAGGAAGAATTACATTAATTCATTGGAAAACACAAATTCGGCCTGGCATGGTAAATAAATATATATACAGTTGGCCATGGCTATATTTGCAAACTTGCTGTATTTAATAAGCTATTATTTTATTAAATAATTTTTCACTTGTGTTCACAATATGTAAAATTTCTGTTTCCATTTTTGTAATGTCTATAGATATTATTTCCCCATATGAAATGGTCAAGAGGTTCAACTTGCACCTTCTTTTGTGAAAGAAATTTTGAATCATTGGTTGTCATTCTTCCATAATTTTTGATAAAATCAAGTGCATATTTTTAAAAAATTAATAATTCTTGATTAAGTTTTGCTATTAGGTACTCATATAATATTGTTATTTATTTCTCTTTCATATGATTTTTAATAATTTGTGTCTTTTCTAAGAATTGGTCTATTTTGTCTGAAAGATCAAATAGTTTATAAATTTCAGTTTTGAATTTAGTTTTAAATATTTTTGCTGTTACATTG